ATTTACCAATCCCATATAAGAGGAGTTTAAGGAGTTTAGAAATTATGACGCAGAGGCTCACGATCTGCTGTATGATTGGGTGTCATCAGTCATGACGTGTTCTTCCCTGATTCATCAGGCACTGTTTACACCAGCACGCGCATGCCCAGTGTTGGTGAATGGTTACGTGATCCGTGTTTTCAGTCGTTTTAATGTGGATGGAGAACGTATTCGTTTTAATTCTCCATTTTTAAACGAAAATGCAGTAGTGTGGACGGGGCCTCAGTGTGCCAGCTTTCTTCATTTGATGATGGTGGGGGTTGGGTGCCCAGGTGTGTTTGAGGACTGAGAAGAATGACGTGGCCTCTCTGCGTGACTAGGCAGAATCTATTAATTGTCAGATGAACTTACACTGTAAATAACTTGTAAAAATAAACTTGTAAATATCTGAATACTCACATCCGTTTATTGTTTATTTGTTACGATAAACACAGACCACTAACACAGCAATTGCGCATTGGAGAACGCACATTGGTATTGCATGCACCACCACAATAATACATATAATACAATTAATAACTTCACAAAACATTTTTTGTAAGTCTATAAGCACTATCACAGAACATTTCAGTTTGTATTTGGTAAGCTTAGAAGTATTTACTTTTTCACGTCGGGATCCACTCCATCAATGAAAGCTGCTTCAAGCACGGGCTGCCAAGACGGTCAGACTCGCGTGAAATCCTCCACCATCTCCAGAACCTTCTGGGTTGGATGATTGGTATCTTGGGGCGGGCCATGCTGGTCCCCCAGTGCCCTTCTTTCCCGAAGTCCGAAGTGCAGTCTGTCATGATACCGCTGTGTCCAGCGACTGGTACCTCTTAGAAGGGTGATCTACGTCTCGCCTCAAAGCCTGTAAGTTGTTGTCTGATCTCACGGGCAAGGCTTACAGACCCTGTGGGCAAGCCGCTTTCTCCATTCTTGGCGTTGATGCAGGTCCACCAGGCCAAATGGACATACACAAGGGTAGTCCAGACCATGAGCTCATAAGTGAGCTTCTAAGTGAGAAATGGGGACTCCCCCATTTCCCAGGTTTGGCTCTTTGGCAACGCAGTGGAGAACTTTCCCCAACAGTTGCTCGCTGCACCCAAAAGCAGATAGAGGCGGTCCGGCACATTCTGCTACAGTGGCCCGCTGCTACCTCAACCCATCAGCCGGACTAGCAGGAGTGGAGGTGGCAAAAAAGGTATGCCCTTTTCCTCCACTCCTACTAGGCCTCAGCGTGGCCTATTGCCTTTATTTGTTTTCCTGAATTTGGACCATCATTTAATAATTTGGTTATAGTGAATTCCTGGCACCCTACTGCTTGCAATTCTTCCTTAAGAATCCTCCTTTCTTTATTATACGCCTTACATTTCTTCAATGTTCTACTGTCTCCTCTATTGAACACACTTCACATAAACCTGTGTTATGTTTCCCTATAATGTGTAAAGTATAATTTAGCTTTGAATGTCCTGTTCTTAAATGTGTGAAAATAACTTGTTCTCTTCTACTTAAGTTGTGGATTATATTGCCTCGCTTTATGTTTTTTGGACCTTATAATAATGCTGACCTGTATGACATGAGTCCTTAACTGTCTGCGACTTCTTATTACATGCTTCTAAAATTAAATGTTTTCCTTCTGCTCTACTGAGTGAAATGTTTATATTTGGTTCTTCCATTTTTAATGATTCTTTGGCTATTTTGTCTGCTTCTGCTTCTTCTTGCTGGAACCCACATAAATCAAATTATTATTCCCACCTGTCGTAAACTATATAACCTGATCAGGATTTCTGTTAAAATATCAGTTCTATTTGTTTACAATGTTTGTAAACTCCCAAGAACTGACATTGAGGCAGAGCATATTATTACCTTATCAGGTCTAACTTCATAAACCCACTCTAGTACCATTAAAATACCTGTCATCTCAGCTGTATATACTGATGTGCCGTCTGTTATCCTTCCAGGCTTCCTCACCATAAACTCTGGAACATAGAATGCAGTCCCTGTCTTTTGCTCTCTCTTCTCTCTAACCTGATCTTGACTATGCTATACTGCCCTCTGCTGTCCAAATTCTTTTTTTGTCCCGAAGTCTGTGATCCGTTAGTGTCGATATGATGTCCAATCGAAAATATGAAGACGACTTTATTAATGTATGTGGGGAAGTACTCAGTAATGAGAGTATTAAAATGAATAAATTGGACAGACATGTCAAGTCACATTTACAGTATTTATACAGAGCTTTTTACAATACAGATTGTATCAAAGCAGCTTCACAGTGATAACATGAAAATAATACAGAACAGTGATTACAAAACAAATTGGATCGAAACATTAAGAGAATTTGTCCATTTCATCTGTTTGGAAGTCAAAGTAATCACGCCGGTTTGGAGAAGAGATGTTGAGGATCAGTGCCGATGGCTGTCGTGTCGATGAGGCCGGCACTTAACCCTTTAGAACCAGATGTGTCGTTGTTGACACAGCCGACGAACCTGTATTCATGTTAACATAACTCTTCAACCATTTGCACTATCAAAAACATTCAAATTGCCCCTGACAGTAGACAACATGCACTTTTCTGTCAGCAAATGACAGCTGATATATGTGATATATGGCTACAAAGTGTTTTTCATTCAAAAAAATATTTAAACCCATATTCATTTATTTTTACAAAAATTCTGATCTTAATAGTATGAAAATGTTTAAAATAATATAATTTATGAAAATAAAAAATATATATATATATTCGATCATAACAAACGGGGCAAAAAACGGGGTCCGGGTTAGCCAGGGTTGACTCACTGTATGTAGGCTAAATAAAATGCATTATAGCCTAATCACCAAAACTGGTTATCTGTACACAAAATCCATTCTCCTTTCTTTTCTCAAGAAGACTTCAATTACACTGTTGTACATGTTATTTGTATATATTTATATTTTTTCGTGGTCTTGAAATCTATTCCGTATCTGGCAAAGAATGTTGTCCAGAACAGTGCTGTGGAGTTTCTGGTAGTATGCACGAAGGTCTCCTTGTGCTGGGCCTCTCCGTGCGCTCGGAGCGCCTGTGATGCGCGCAGTGGCTTCATAGATCTGACCAAATTGGCCTCTCTCTCGTTCAATGCTGTCACAAAACTCATTTACCCTTGTCAGACAGAATTTTACATCCAATGTTTTGGTCTGTAGTATTGCAAAAAGCACATCTGAATACTCAAAAATCCCATTAAATGTGTGAAGCAAAAAACAAAACTCGAAATCATCCAGACGTGCATTAAATGCATTAGCACATCGCACAGAGTCCTCATCATACTCATCATGATGTTCTAGTATGTGGTGAAACAGCTCCTTTAGGGCATCTCTCTTCTCAAAAACTGTACTGACCAATCTTGATGTGTATTGCCACTGTGTTGGTGCCACACGAGGAAGACGCCGCTGGCAAATTTCATTTCAGCGTCAGGAAAAGTCCATCTTGAAAATGGCTTTGCAGGTAAATCTGCGACCAAGTGAATGTCCTCTGTCAGCCATTGTGGTTTGTAAAAAAAAAAAAGAAAGAAAGAAAAGGTATTTAATCACCACATTTTTAAATTTTACAGATGCCGTTTGCTCTGACGGACTAGTAGTAATAGTACGGATTCTGGCCATCCAATCAAAGGACGTGAAAAGGCCGACGTTATTCTAAGCCTGCTAGATAGCCCCAGTATCACCATCTCGAAATCTGATTGGTTGATTAAATCTGCTTGAGTATCTGATTGATTAAAGAGCCCCGTTACATTACCATTTATTTTTAAGCTACAGGAGCCCGCTCTATTGATTCTGGAGGCCTTCAGGCAGATTTCTTTTATTGTGGCAACACATGATGGCTGAAATATGATTGGATAAAAGCTTAACATAAAATACACACATGCACGACCAAGCAGCGCGACCAAGAAAAAAGCTATGAAATAAGAGAACAGAATATTGGGAATAATTTAATACACATTCACGTAAAAAAAATATATTACAATGCAAGCCAGTGATTCTGATGGTGTTTAGGCCAGCAGAAAAGGCCTTGCTGGCCCTGATGGAAAAAAACTGTGCATTGAAGACTTGTATATATGCATTATAGTTCATTTTTCAACTTAAAAGTGTTAGTTTCCTTCGTCTGTGATTTTTCTCCTTTTTAAATAAAATCAGTAAATTTATTGTTTTATTTTATTTTTTAAATCTATTTAAATTCTATTTACAAACTCACCACACACAATAATGGTCAATAACTGTAATATGTTGAAAGCTAATCTTTTTCTGAAAAAGATGACACCTTGCACATGAAGATAGTACACTGTTTTGGAATTTTACAGTCAAAAAATAAAAATGTGAGAAAAACACCTATTTTAGCTTCCGGTTCTAGGGTTAAGTGACATCTCAACCATTTGGTAGAGGCCAATATTTTAAAAATTATTTTTATTAAAGTGAGTTTTTATTGCAAACCTCACATGACCCTTAAACACTAGACAGTGCAAACACGACCTTGACCAATTTAACTGGTTGACGGGAATTTCATCAGCCTTATTTGTAACATTATATAGGTTGTTATATTGGTACACTTTTCATTATGATGTATTGGTGTATTGATTCTAATCTTGATCTTCTGAACGTTTTGAAAGACAGGCATCATTGGACCCAAAAGTGTTGTGCAATGACGACTATGACATAAATGCTGCAAAGATATTGTGATGTAGGAAAATAAGAGAAGGAGGTTGTGGAAGAGGAGGACGTTTTGACAAGACAAACTTGTGCAAGACATGCTCCTCTTTCCATGTGCCAATACTGATAACCCAGCACTGGTGTCTTTTACTCACCTCAATGTACTAATCTGCATTTATCTGTAAAATATCACTGACTGATAGCAACTGATGGCATGAAGTATACAGAGGAAAAAAAAAACTTTGTCCATTGATATTTATCTTCAAAATGGTGTTGTTGAGATGCAAGACAATCAACCAGTCGAGTTTAAGAGTAGACAAGTTTAATTGAGAATTACAGACAGGTGGAAAAACATCTGCCTCTATCTTCCCTCATTTTGCTCATTCACTAGTTCTTTAAATGCTCAAAAATTGTTAACACAGTGCTTAAAATTTCAGTATCTTGCTGAATCTTGCACATGATAAGCACGAGACATGCACGAAGAAGTGCAGGATATAACATGGGGTGGTGATGGCGCAGTGGATAAGACACATGCCTTTGGTGTGAGAGACCCGGGGTCGAGTCCACTATGAAACACCAATGTGTCCCTGAGCAAGACACTTAACCCCTAGTCGCTCCAGAGGGGTGCGACCTCTGACATATATAGCAATTGGAAGTCGCTTTGGATAAAAGTGTTAACTAAATGAATAAATGTAAATATATTTAACATCAACTTAAAGTTATAACAAATTTATGTGAACATATAACAAATGAAGTGAAAAAATGTTGGCAAATAAAACTGTACGTTTTCTTTTTTTTGGTTTTTTGTTCAACCTATCTTCTTTGCATCAGTTATGCCTTCTTCATAATGTACAGGCCAGCCTTCTGCACAACCCAACACAACGTAACGAGTCGACTTCTTCCCTGTACGATATTCACATCTTGGGGGTCTCTCCCCACTTTGTAATTTGCAGGTGATCACAGGAAAAGGCTGGTTGCTCTTAAACAGGTTACCGCCCTGTGGAGTTCCTCCTCTGCCACAAACTGCTTTAATCTGATTTGAATTTGCTTGTATGAAGGTGTTGACAGGTTTGCAGCCATCGTCAGCTCCAGTGATGCCTCTCTTTCTCATTTCACTTGTACACTTCTGCTCACTCATATCAGGACCGAAATGCTGAGTGAGGAATTTTTGATAGCGGGGTTTTATATGTGGTGGTTGAGCATGGGTGGAGAACGACACACACACGACCAGCAGCAGAATCACAGCAGACTGATGAATCTCCATAACCTACTGAACACACACATCAGAACACCTTTACTGAGATTCGACTTATAAAGCAGTTTGGTGCTTTTGACTATGGCTACGTCCACAGTAATCCGGATACATTTGAAAACGCGGTTTTCGTTTAAAAACGCTCTCCATCCACACTAGCGTTTTCAGGCATTTTCCGACGTTTCAGTGTGGGTGACAAACTTCTAAATTCACTTTACTGGGCATGCGTGAAACTTCACAAAAGCTCACTGAGATGATACAGAGGGGAAAATAAATAATAGGCTAATGTTATCGCACAATAACAGGATATTTTTATTTAGCAAAATATCTCACCATCACTGATGCGTCCAGGTCGCATTCAGTCACCATATGTTTGGTCTAAAACGCAAGGACAGCAGGTCTGTTTTGCCGCAGGACAGCAAATGTAAGTACATTATCTGTCATCTTTGCAGTACTGTGCTATGAAGAATAGCACATATTAAGTAACATAGAAAGTAACATATTTTAGCAACAGTGTAAAAATGAATAACACATAACAGGCACAATACCGATAAACATGAATATCTATTGGTACTACATGGATCACATGACTAAACTTACGTCATCGTTTTGAAATACCTCCGGTTTCACTGTCCACACTACAGCGCGAAAACGGCGTTTTCAAATTTATCCACTTTGGAGAGCGTTTTCCAAACGACACGTTTTTGTTGACTTAAAACGCCGTCTCATTGTGGACGGAAGGCCAAAACGGAGAGAAAAATATACGTTTTCAAATGAAAGCGTATTAGTGTGGACATGGCCTGTACTTTGTTTTCCATCTGACACATTTCTTACATATCTTTTACTCGCTCAGAAAAGTTCTAAAGTTCTACAAAACCCCAGAAAATAAATGTGCCCCCAGAAAAACACATTCTCAATGTATGTTGCATGCTTTTTTTATACGTATTTCTCAATGCTTTAAATATTATAGACTGACCAAAGAAAAAAAATGTTAAATGAGCTTGTGGTAACTGATACTCACACCGGTTGCAGTCTATAGTCCGGGATAGTAAACCTCTGGCCTGTTTTGTGATGCACCTTCACAATGTCCAAGTGAATGCAGTCAGGCTTAATCTTGGGGTTAGATGAATCTTCAGGTTATCTGTAGATCTCGAAGCTGTCAGTCATCAGTTGGAAACAGGCTCCTCAACTGTGATGTGTATCAGATCTCGGGAGAATGATCAAGCAACAGAGACAGTGTAATACCATAACATTCTCAAGTTTATTAAGGAAGAGGGCTCATATTTATACACGAGATAAAGCAGAATCATCCATGATGTCCAGACCACCCAATCATAGCACTCAAAGATCAGCCCTACCATATATAGCATGTTAAGAAATATAATAACAAGCGGTTAGATGTTTAAATGTATGTGTGTGTTTCGAGTTCCTGTTTGTGTGCGAGTGCGAGTGCAAGTGTGTCCAAGGCTTAGTCCATGGTGTACACATAACATAACGAAAATAAGTTACACAAGGACAGCCTTACACAAGAATGGAGCCTAAGAAATAAGAAAGTATTAACACTTGGTGTCACGACACTGGCTTTAAAATGTCCAGGTCCACTCAGGATTTGAGTGAGCATTCAATCGTGTGACATATGAAGAGTTTGTGATATAGTTCTCTGATGAAGATTAAGAGATAATAACCAAAGAGTAGATCATTTAAACACATTATATCTATTGCTAAAGTGATGGATTCAGAGAACTGCTGGAGGAAAATAAAAAAAATGTGTCTTAAGTGAATAAATATTGGCCCATGACAAGGGTAAGAGAGAACAAACTGGATTAATTTAAACTATATGTAATAAGGCAGTGGCTATATGTGCACTAAGTACAAATATCGATAGATGCTATTCAAACTAAATGTGAAAATAGCATATTATTCCTTCACTGTAAAAAGTGAACATGTGCAGTTGTTGCTTTAAGGAGGTTTTTCTTGCTGATTCTACCTATTAATTCTAATTTCGTTGTGTAATGGCTAATTTTGCATTTACATTTATATATGTTTCTTTCCTTTCATATACGATCTTTATTTTATTTTATTAAGATGTGATAGATGTGTGTGTAACTTTTACTAACGTTGGAAAAGATGTATTCATAAGAATTTAAAGGAAAATATTCATATCATCTAACATATACTCATAAGCATTTAAAGGAAGATGTTCATGTAATCCAAAGGGCATTAATAAAGATATAACAAGCTGGTAGAAACGCATAAGTCAGAGTAAGTTTAAGGTATAACTAAACTGTTAGACATGCATAAGTAATGTAAGCTTAGTGTGAGGACATATTGTTCTGTGTTTAACAAAGAGGCAAGCAGCATGGAAACATTTTAATAGCTCATTGTATTTCAAGTGTGAATTCTATGTGTGCAGGGTTTTGATCAAACAAGAGATAAAGCAGAAAGGTGTGAGGTCGAACATTAGTTGCGACCGAGAGCTGAGTTGGGGTGTGAAGTTGAGCTGTGCTTGAAACACAGGAAACGTTAACACAAACGTCATTGTGCTGTCTGAATTGAATATATGGTTTACAAGAATAGTTAAGAGCATAAACAACCAACAGGTTTCCTTGCTAGGCGGCATAGGGGACAATCTGCTGCAAACCAGACATAGCCTGCATGGTTTCCTGGGTTTTCAGGTATATAAGGATGGCGAGAAGGACTAGCCTTCGCCTTCACATGTAGACATTGTTCTGAATGCCAATTTCGGAATTGTTTTCTTGCAAGAAAATAAACTTTTGATACTTTGACTTTTGAAAGGTTTCCACTTGTCTTCCTCCTATCTTTTCGAACAACAGAGAATTATTTCCACAACAGTTGTTGTAAACGTATTCAATCAGGTTTATGTAACAAAACAAGGGAATGCTGTTTTAACTTAGTTGAGTTACATTGACCCAACATACAATTTGCATTTAACCTCAGGATGAGCACCTTCAACACATGCACACCTGCTCCTTTAGTTGAGAACTTAGTTTCTAAGACAAATTGTTATTATAAACAAAGATGAAAAACACATTAAATAAAACTTAATCCCCAAATTTACTCTCCTAATGCAATTCCATGCAAAGCATGCAGGGAAGTACAGATCCACTGCCATGGGCTGCGATTCCCAAAAGCATTGCTAAGTTGATCATACAGTCAGACCATTGGTGGCAAAGCTCTAAGATTTGGGAAACACTGCACTGGGCAGAGGATCTGTAGTTCCCGGCATTCAAGGGACTAAATTGGGAGACGCATCCATATTTATCTTTAGCTTAAAGACTGAATTGACCCAGACCTTCTCTTAATTAGCAAATGTGTTCATCATCTTAAGCCATCACCATGTTTTGAAATAATCCCATGCCACATCTTAGGACCTGCATGAATGAAAACTATGATAGACATATCATTGGGATAATCATCACAGCCTCACAGCTTTAGAGTAAAACTGAATCCAAAACTGCTATATCAAGGCAACAAACGTTGGTCTCCACGTATGGTCTCCACAGGAATGAAGGGAATCACCTTATGGTCTCAGCTGGTTCTTAAAAGCATATTACCATTCGCTCTTTACAAATAATCTACTTATTCTCAGGGTGTCGTACCCTTCAGTAGTTGCACAGGTCGTGGAGACTTTTCACAATGAAAAACAAGCCATCCAAGGAATGCGGTTGCTGGTGATTTGGGTATGGAGGATCTCACATTTGTTGATATACCCATATAAGCAGTGAGCTCCTGCCTCAGGTTGTCCTCTGTTTGGTCAAAAGATTTCCCATCATTGAGAAATCACCTCATGCACACTGGTAACTGATCTTTCCTATTACAAACTCTTTGACCGTTTTCTTCAGCAGAGTCAAGTATTTTCTGGAGCTTATAGGGGAAGTTCAACCATTAGAGCCATTTGGACTGCCTAATAGTGTTAAAACAGGGAGATAGGTTAATGACAGCAGTATTTAATGATTAAAATCCAGAAGACATTCAAAGCAGCAACATAAGCAATGCTTGAGATTATACTCAGTGAATTTAGATACACTGTAAAAAATTATTGATGCAAATAGTTGTACAAATGAGGATATACATGTTGGATCAACATAATGGTTGTGTCAAAAAAGAAAAATATGTTTGATCAATGATTACATGATTTCCATGACTGTACTACAAAATGTTCATCAGGAGAAAATAAATAATGGTGTTCACAGAATTTTTAACATTGCACAAAAAATATTATGTTGGCCGAGCAAGAGGGAACAGCGTCAATCGTCTGAGCATGCGCAAAGGAGTTCTACCAGGCTTTTGAATTTCCCCCGCCACGAGTCTCGACATTGAATTGGTGAGTGCATCAAAGTTTGTTCCTTTCTTTGTGTAGGGAGGTAATTAGCAAATTTAGGTTAAGAATATATCTATTATGAGTAACGTTAACTACAGTAATTAAATAATTTTAACATAAAGCTTTAGCATTCCTTTCCAACTGGCATGCGGTTTTAACGTTGAACCACACGGTTAAGCATCGCATGGGTTGCCACCTGTGCCGGTTTTACCAGGATTGTCATTTGTCCTTCTTTTTACAGTTTTTCTCAATTGCTTTGGCTCAGTTGTCAAATGTTTTTTTTATTTCCCGAAACATTAAGTTCAGATCTCTGAACAATTCGCTTCTTTTTCACATCAGATTGGAATTTCTTATTGATTTGAGCAAATTGCAAATGCGTTGGCACATGTGTGCAAAGAGTACATACAACTGTCTGCAATTTGGACAACAAAGAATTGCATATGGCTTGTTGATCAAAACTGATGACTCGATTCTCACTTACACTGTCAAACACTTCAGAACTTCTCAGCCATTTTTTATTGTGTAAGCCATTACATTCAAAATGATCTATTCAATTATCATAATTAGTATACATGCATGTATATTCTAAAATATATCTGACATTGACATTGTTTGTAATGTTTGCTAAATTGGCACATGACTTCTAATTGCATTCGCAATCTAATTGCAAATTACCTCTAATATGAATCAATCAACCATTTAACCATTTAACCAATCAACTTTGGAAGTATATATATATATATATATATATATATATATATAGAATGGAGGACATTCACAACCCTGAACTGCAGCAACAAGCATATGGAAGAGCAATTGGAAGGCGTGTAAAAATACGTGTTGGTGGTAGAGGAAGAAATAATCGAGGAAGAGGTGGAAATAGAAGAGTCAGAGTCTCTGATGAAACACTTGTGGATCATGTCATAAATCTGACCATTGCAGGGGATGGGTGCGGCATTCAAGGAGATTTTTTCCACGGTGTGTGGCAATGGTAACATCAGATGTGATGTTGATGAAAATATTTGGCCTGACCAACGTGAGCGACAAGATGTCCACCAAGAATAATTTGTTTCTTTTTTTTTTCTTCATGAATGTTATTTGTTGTTTGTGTATTTGTGGTAATACACAAATATGAAATGTAAAGTGAAATCTTGTTACCCTTCCCACACGGAAAAAACCTATATAAACATATATGTTTTAATATAGGTTTTGATATATGTTTTTAATATATGTGACATATATAAAATTGGCCGTTTTCCTATATTATATGTACATATATGCACATATATGTACATATATACGTGCATATATGTACACATATATACGCACCTATATAGGTACATGTATGCACACATATAGGTGCATATATTTGTGCATATATGAACCTATATATGTACATGTATGCATGCATATATGTACACATATAGGTGCATATATACATGCATACATGTACCTATATATGTACATGTATGTACGCATATATGTGCACATATAGGTGCATTTATACATGCACCAACATGTTTACCTATATTAGAATAATTATTAAAATCCATAGCTACTAGGCAACATAAATAATAGTCCAAAATGTATGCATTTAGATTATTTATTTACTTAAGATCAAATAGTACAAAAACAAAAATAAGACAAAAAAACTGGATAGAAAAAAAATCTTTTTGATCTTCTCAGCTCCATGAGCTTTGAATTGATAGACGTGCCCATCTCCCCTCGGCTGGCTGACGGACACTTCTTCAATGTAGCATCTAGAGAAGACAAAAATAATAATAATAATAATAATAATAACAAGAAGAAGAAGAAGAATATAGTACTTCATCAGGAACTCAAAGTGCTTACAGTACAGATGTGATCGGACACATATTTTTTGATAAAAGGTTGATCATTTTAAAAAATGCGTCATGTAAACATGTCAATTGGAAGATTCTGAAGATTCTGAAAAATCTGAAACGTGGCTTAAGAAAAGGAAAGTTAGGATCAAGAACTGAGCAAGCGATGAATTAGTATTATAGGTTCCAAGTAGATATAGTAACAATAATCCCTTATACAGTCTCAATTGATGCCTAATAAACATTGATACAAGTAGGCTATGGTTAAAGTGGTGAACTTATAAAATCCTAATGCGTTGAGAAGGGAAAACAAAACTTTTATACATTTACTCACCAATAATGATGCCTTTTTAATTTGGTCAAGGGCGACCAGCTGCTCCCCATCCCCTCTGGTTGGCTTCCCACCTTAAAGTAAAATTTCAAAATTATTATAAAAGGGGGTTAAATTGAAGCTTGTGAAAGCAATACTTTTTTTATATACACATCACATTTTCTTGAGGTGCAAGGAAATACAAAAATGGCAAGTAAAAAAGCGATGGTATGCCCACACACAAACATAATTTATTCCACAGAATATTAATTGTTTTTTACGGACAGAAGAGATTAGGAGAATGTTTTGTACCATTCAGGTTGTTTTTCAGCAAAGTCTCCAGATCAAATGTGCCCAGCAGCAGATTCCACACCATGGCAGTAGCAGAGGTGGCAAGGAGGGCTGCTTTCCACACTTCTGCCTGGCAAAACACCCCAGAGCCCTTTATAACTTCAATCTGAAAAATAATTTATTCATTTATTGGCATTGTTTCATATTTATTCTTATGCTTAGCTTCCCAATAGTTTATATGTTTTTATGTATGAATGCAGATTAATGATAAAGAAACAAAATAATAATATTACACAAAATAATAATATGAAACAAATTAATAATTGCCCTAAATGTTCTTAAAGGAGAGGAGGAGGAGGATAGGGTGTCGGGGTGGGGATGGGGATATTTATTAATAAATAAATAAAAATTCAAGGGGGTTAACTTACTCACCGGTTGCACTTTTCAAAAGAGGAGGAATCTAAATCCTCAACAGGACTCCTTTCAGTCTTGTTCATAGAAGAAAAATAAAAGTTATTCTCTTCAATAAATTGAAGTGCAAATAACTTAAATCAAATAATTAACACTATCAATCAGCCCAACATCACAAGTCTCTACAGCTCTGCTAGAGAAACAATTTTAAAAAGCAAAATCAGAGGAACTTACCTTTTTGAGCAATAATGGCGAGGTAACTTTTCATTTGAGGTAATTCTAGAAAGAGGTTATATAAAGAAAAAAAAAACAATTACAATCACTTAATCAAAATAGTAATGCCCTAACGTTAATGTTTACTATTTGAAAGACATTTCCTGCAACTGTAAAGGCAAGCCCATTGATACGGCTCTTTCTTTCACCAATTTCGACCAAATTCAAACTCCACAGGTATTTTTTTTTTCTGGAGCCGATTGCCTTCTTGAGCCGTTGGCAGAGAAGTATCATTTATTCTCATGACGTTATGTTCTCTTGTTAACCCTCGACGAATTCCTCCAGAAAGAAACAAATAAATACACGAACTCTAAATTGAATCTTATCAACGGCTAAGTTATTTTAGCACCCACAGTAACGTTACGTTACCTCACCAGCTAACAACATAGGAAGTGTATGGGCTGAAACAGGTGTGTTTGGCAAAAAATAAATGCTAAGTTTATACTTCTCTGCCACCGCAATTTCCACCCTGCAAATAAATATAAAATTAGGAATACTTACGATTGGTGATAAGTAGGACTTAGAGGATCTCCAATGCTGAAATCGCAATTTTTACTCCCAGCCGTTATCTTCCGGCGCGAAACTTGACTTCATCTCATCGGATACGGATAACGTCAAGCGTTAGGCGGGTGACGTCATCAACTACGGAGCGCTGTAGCGGCCAATCGGCAGTGCAGCAGCATTCGAATTTATTAACCACTGTGAATTGCTCAGATAGATGGTGGGATGATGATGATTATTTGAATGTACGTTCTATTCACTTTTTTTTTTTTTTTTTTGCTACATTTTGACTGTAATGACCTTTCAGCCAGAAAAAAAAAACTGCATTCAGACAATACAGAAAACATTGCAATTTGCATTGCATTTGGTGGATGTATCGGTGAATGTGTGGATGTGTATGGGAAAGTGACTTGAAATTGGAAAAAGGGCTTTTTGGTAAAATGAAAAAACAACAAACCCTTTTGTTATACATTTCCTTCTTTTCCACTAAGTCATTCTGATATGTATATAAATATTTATTTATTTATTTGAGCAATATAGTGACATATACATACACTCTAAAAATGCTTTGGGTCAAACATGGACAAACCCAAATGTTGGGTTAAAAATGCAATTAAAAAAATGTACAGTTGAAAAAGTGAAAGTTGAATTTGGGTTAAAATTTGAAATTACATTTTTAACCAAACATTTGGGTTTGTCATTTCACCCAAATTTGGGTTCAAACAACCCAGCATTGTTTAGAGTGGATGAGCTACAAATGACCAGATCCTGCCATGAGCTACAGTATAGGATACTCTTGTAGGCTATATAGCACTTATGTGTGGATATAAAGAAGCAATGCAGGAGACCTATATGGCCTGTATATGCACATATATGCACCTAAAATTGCCTATATGTGTCATATATACACACATATGCAGCATATATCTTATCATATATGTGCATATATGCACCTAAAATTGCCTATATGTGTCATATATACACACATATGCAGCATATATATTATCATATATGTGCATATATGCTGTATATATGCAGCATATATGTGCATATAAACTGCATATAGGTTTCATATATGCGCATATATCCTCATATAGTTTCTTTCCATGTGGGTTGTCAGTTACTTTACATGTACAGTAAATACACTTGTATTGTGTATATACACATGAAGTACAAAAATAAACACTGTAAAAATACAAATGTTCATAGAATTTTTTTTTCTACATACTATTGACTTTTCTCAACAAATATGAGATTTGTTTACAGTAAACCCTTAATTTTCGTGGTTGACTGTTGTGGTGAAAAAACAACTAAACATTTTGACCAGTGTGGCTCACACAATGACAAAAATAGTTTAGATTTTGGTGGCCTTGGCCAAATTATTGACAAAATAACTAGGTTTTGAAGCATGAATTAAATGTTTTGGGTGAGTAACTACATTTTGCAGACATGCTATAAAGTTTTGAAGTTCCTGCAAACAGTTGTGACATTTGCACTCACAGTTTAGAGAATGTTAAGAATGTTTCGAAAAATGTGCCAAAGCAATTGAGAAAAACTGTAATAACCAGCCTCGGGAAATTTAAGCACTCGTTCGTTTCCGAAAGGCTACGTGAATGTTCAAACTGTGTAGCGCGCGGCCGCGTGCACGGCAGAGAGGGGGAGACCTCGCACTCGACATGTTAGAAACGCATGTAATTCCCGGTGGGCGGGTTGTGATATGTCCCGGTTTTTTATCAGACAGGTGGCAACCGTATGTTCCTGTTTAATATTTTAAATGGTCAATATTTTTAAATTCCAGTTGCATTCTTGATATGTGTGATAATTGACTGCAACAGACAGCTAGTCTTGACGACTAACTTGGTGCTTTTGCTATCACAGAGTGACTGATCATTTAGGCTAACGTTAGGTCTAAGTTAGTTTCCATTCAAAGCACGTGTGCCATCGTGTTAGCAGCTAGTACTTTTAAGAAAACCCTAATAAATACTGAAGTATGGTTGTTCTGTGTATAGAACTATGAGTTATTTATGCATTTGTATTTGTTTGTATTTCAGGTATTTTTTCAGACTTAAAGCTAAATGCAGTGCCGCTATTGTACATTTTCATCTGCAGCAAGACACAGGCTACAGACTTCATCATTGGCAAGTAGGTAAATGTTCTTTTCCCTGCATTCATCCAGACTGTGTTTGTATTTTTACAACACACGCACACACACCAGCACCCCACACGCACACTAATGACACATGATTTGGATATTTTTGTGTTTTTTGGAAAAATGGGATTAAATGGGTTAATAATGTCTTATTGATGACCTGTGTTTTTGGCAGACCACAGATCTAACTATTTATAGGTTTGCTGTTCTTCGTGGTCTTCCCCTGTACTTGAGAGAGCCAGCTTCAATTTCAAAGACTATTAAGGTAATTTGAATATATTTATGCTATTACTGTTTGAGATGCAGTAATGATTGCATAAGACATTATGCTTTCAGTCTGACACTTAGTGTCATTTATTGTGTTTCACAGAATACTGAGGCACTGGGGCCACACACAAAGGCCATGAAAATGGGGATCCTGGAAGTGACTGACTGAAGTGACTGACAACACAAACTTTTTTTGGATGCGATTAATCGTTGCCCATCCCTACAAAGCATTCATCCCTGAGAAATATTAGAATGTTTAATTTTTTAAAGTAGAGATTTATTTTGCCAATAGAACTGTTTTAATGTACATAGTGACATAGGTAACCTGAAAGTAGTGGGCAGTACTTTGTATTTTATTTTTTCCATGTAATGTACAGTAATTGCCCTTAGTCTTAGACTAACAGACTAAAAATGTCATATGTTTACAGGCAAAGCCACTGTCATGTTTTACTGAGTAAAGCAGATATTTGTTGTACAGCTATTGACTAAGTTATATGCCATGCTTTCTTGAACTCTCAGATCTTGTTTCGGCACTATTTGAATACTTGTGTAATATTTTACTTGAGACTAACAGGCAAGTCTTTTGTATTTTAATAAATGCATAAAATGTACTCTATCAGAGCCTAGTGTGTAATTTATTTGAAATAATGAAAAAGAGACTTTTTTGACCAACATTAATGAAAAATAGACTTTTTGGCCAACATGAAATATTTAATTAATACAACATTTTATTTCAATTTGAGTCTGTTCATTGGCCCAACAAGCTGTTTAGTCAACAGAAAATATTTAATTGACAACATTCTATTTCAAGTTAGGTCGACATGCAGGGGTCAGCACAACACAAATAAGTTGGTTTCCGCAACTTAAATTGGGCCAACTAAAAATTTTAGGTGCAACGGGTCACTAGAAATTTTTATGTTGGAGAGGCATATATTTTTTTACAGTGTGGCAGTTAAGGTCAACTGTACAACTGAAACTATTTCCACACTGAACACATGAAAACGTGTTTTCTCCAGTGTGAATTTTCATGTGATTCATAAGATTTCCTTTTTGTGAGTAGCTCTTCAAACAGTTTTCAGATGTGAGGCTTCTCTCGAGTGCGAACTCGCATGTGGCAATCAATGTTTGATTTATGTGTAAAACTCTTTCCACTCAGTTTGCACATGTAAGGCTTCTCTCCAGTGTGAATGTGCCTGTTAAGGCTTCCTTTTTGAGTGAAACTTTTTCCACACATTTTGCATGTGAAAGGCCTCACTCCCGTGTGAATTCTCGTGTGGGAATCAAGATTTTTTTTATTTGTAAAAGTCTTTCCACATAATTTGCAGGTGTAAGGCTTCTCTCCAGTGTGAACTCTTATGTGGATTTTAAGGCTGGCTTTATAGGTGAAACTTTTCCCACATTGTTGGCAGGTGTAAGGGTCCTCTCCAGTGTGAATTCTCAAGTGATTTTTAAGGCTTTCTTTATGTGTGAAACTTTTTTCACACTGAGGGCATGTGTACGGTTTCTCTCCAGTGTGAAGTCTTATGTGGGTTTTAAGGCCTCCTTTTTGAGTGAAACTTTTTCCACATTGTTGGCAGGAGAAAGGCTTTTCTCCAGTGTGAAGTCTTATGTGGGAATCAAGGGTTTTTTTATTTGTAAAAGCCTTTCCGCACAGTTTGCATGTGTAAGGCTTCTCTCCAGTGTGAACTCTTATGTGGATTTTAAGGCTGCCTTTTTGAGAGAAACTTTTTCCACATTGTTGGCAGGTGAAAGGGTCCTCTCCGGTGTGAATTCTCAGGTGATTTTTAAGGCTTTCTTTGTGGGTAAAACTTTTTTCACACTGTGGGCATGTGTACGGTTTCTCTCCAGTGTGAAGTCTTATGTGGCTTATAAGGCTTACTTTTTGAGTGAAACCTTTTCCACATTGTTGGCAGGAGAAAGGCTTTTCTCCAGTGTGAATTCTCATGTGGACTTTAAGGTTTGCGAGTTTATCAAAACCAATTCCACACTCTGGGCAGGTGAAATGACTTCTAGCAACTGTTTTTTGTGGTCTTTTCCGTGAGGAGGACTTTTTGGTCTGTGAGAAACTATACGATTTTTCTCCAGTTGTGAAATCATGATGTTTCACATACTGATATTGCTCTTTCAGTTCATTAAGTTCTTCACTCTCTTCTTTCAGCTGCATCAGGTCTAAAAGAAAAAAGAAGATACAAGTTAACACAAAGCAACAGATATGAAGATTGACATTTTAAGCATCAAAATCATCATGTACGCTATTTAAAGTGGTGTTACCTGTGATCTCAGAACCTCTGGTTAACATATCACTCTGGTTAAAACTCTGAAGCGGGACATTACCAAACCTCTAAAAAAAATCCTACACACTAATAGTCTATTAAGCACAAAGTTTGGTCCCGTGATTTTCCTCAGTCATTCAAAAAATGACTATTACAAAATGATCCAATCACTGCGTTTTCGACCCCCATCGTGACACATCACCACCAATAACAATTAATGACAAGAGTTTATCATATCTATAACATCAAGTCACCTTTATTTATATAGTGCTTTTTACAATACAGATTATATCAAAGCAGCTTCACAGTGATAACATGAAAATCACCACATACGAGGCTTGCTTTATGGGTAAAACATTAAAAAATCATCACATTTAAAAATATAATTTTACATAAACAAATACATTGAAAATAAAAATACCATTGTTTTATAACATCACGCATTGAATAACGCTTCATTCATTTAAACCCATCGGTGATCAAGTCTAAATAGTTACTACAGGGCTCTCAAGTTTTATCAAAAGTTTGGAGTGAGATCTCTTAAAGGTATAGCGGAGGATTTTCTTTTTCCGGGTGGGTAGTCTATACATAGTTCCCACATGACGTCACAACATACGGGCATTTGCCGACCCGGCGCCATTGCTGAGGGCAAAACATAAGAAGAAGCAATACGAGTTGAACGAAGTGAAATGAGTTTCGTGCTATAAAGTGAAAATGGTCATCTCCTGCTGAGTCAATGGATGATAAAATCGTGCCGGAGGTTCAGTTAAATCGGGATTTTACACTATACCCGTCATTAGACTCCATATGGATGTGAGAAGACTAAGCTTTTGTCCGAACAACGATGGAGATTATGGCTGGCGAGCATGAACAGGAAAGAAACTCACTCAAAACACGCACGAATTTGTTTGACAAAAGCACAATGTTGTGTTTTATTGCGAGTGTAAATAAATATAAGTTAACACGTTGCAGTTTGAATAATGTCCTGTATGAACAAAATGACGAGGTATTAAAAACATACAAAACAACATTGTTTCCACTGTTTGATCTCACATTCCAGCATTGCAATCTCAGATTATGTCCCTAAAGATCCCGCGTATAATGTAGTTCCTCATTTATTACATTAATTAAATTGCACGCGAGTTATTTATTTTAATATTCATGCACCGAACCATGACGCCCGCAAGTACATGCATATTACAGAAATCACCGGTGACTGGGGAACATAGGAATTAAGTTGTGCAGGCTATGGCTTTTTAATAGACAGATTAGCATCATGCTACTTCGCTATGATGACTTAAGTTACTTTTCCATTGATTGCACTTGAGCAAACGTCACCAAACCAACCCCACGTCAATCTGATCGTACACCTCCAGTGATTTCCAGGCTTGGAATTGCTCACATGTGTAAAAACTCCTCACCAATACCAGATAATTGTACACATGAAAATACTGTATCTGAGGCAAAGTTGCATAATCGGTGCTCAGTGCTTCTTTTGTTGCATAAGGATACACACCATTTATGAATGAAATTTTCGCATTGTACCTCTCTATGTCTTGTTTTAATAGTCTCTTTATAATCTATTACACTTTGTCTTTTCATGATTTGCATAAAAATATAAACAGACATAAATATTTGTTTGTAAAACGACATTCTCTGATAACACGTTGTAAACGCCTATGGTAAACACAGCGGTTTTGCCCTCAAAGATGGCGTCTCCGGGGAGGTCACGTGACAATTTTTTTGCCTGTGGGAACTATGTATACTATTGGTCCACCTAAGTGTCAATCATTCTGGTGATATGTTTATGTAAGGCCGTCGTAGGCTACGTGCTCATCCCTATGTAGTTTTCACTTTCAGGTGTATTATGTCGGAGTTACGGTTTCAGCCATTCCTTTGAAAATGGCTGAGGGTCGAAAGAGAAAAAATGTTTACGAAGTGTATGATAAGAAGAGAAAGGTCGCAGAATATAGAAACAAGACCAGAGTGATTTTGGGTGAATATCACACGCTGGCGTGCGCTAAAAGCACAGGTTGGGCTTCTCACTGATGCCGCAGTCGCGAAGATTCAACTAGACAGGTAAAGTTTGTCATGCTATTTGGAGAAATCCATTTAAAATCACTAGTAAAAGTTAATGCAAGCTACAATGCTAGCCCTGGCACGAGTCATGCACCGCATAGACACGGTAAACATCTCAATTTGTCTAAAGTAGCCTTTTGACCAAAATGGTAAATGGTATCACGCTGAAATATTCTAAAATCTTGTGTGTTCATATTCTAAAATCTTGTGTGTTCATATTCTAAAACCTTGTGTGTTTATTATTACACAAATGCAACAAGCTACTTCTCCATATGCAACTATGTATAAAAATAACGTATTAACAATGAGAGATATTAGGTTAAGGAGGACCAACGTAATAGCCCTGCTTATATGTTGCCATGTAACGTAATTGCGATTTGCAAAATAGTTTCCTCAGAACGTATTTCGTGTGATACAGGGTTGCACATATCATGTCTTGAGTCCTCGGTCACTCAATCGATCAGTATAATAAGTAAATAAAACACGGAAGGGCACTTGACATGTTGTCTTTTTTATGAATATTTTTGAGTTAGTTTAGAATTTGCAACATAATTGTGCAAGGCGTAATAGATGTTCCCTCTCGGGAGCAAGAGTGTTGTGTTTGTGCATGTGCATTTTTTAAAAAAATTGGAGAGGGCGGGTCTTCTCTAAAATTCGGAAAGATCCTCCGCTATACCTTTAAGGGAGAAGCCACTCAAATATTTGCAGCCGTGGCCCCTCGGCCACTTTTTGCAAGCAGTTTAATTTGGCTATTGTTAATAATTGACCAGCACATATGGAAATTATTACAATTGGTAAATCTGATAAATGACAAATTCATTCAAATAAAATAAAGAGTTTTACAAATTTTAAAAATACAAAGTTTAAAAAAAAAAAAAAAATTTTCACCCAAACAAGCCACCTGAACAGCGGTGCTCAGTGTACATACTCAGTCATAAAACCTTGCCCTGAGCATGTATGTCAAGTTACGTGTGTGTGTAAAGATTTAGCTTATCAATGGTGTTTTGTATTGTAAGTGTCTGTTGCACATTTTGATGGCTCAAGACCAGACATTTTCAGTCATGATGGAGTGAATGGATTTTTTTTTTCATTGTATGGTGGTTGTGTCCACACACTGCAAAGACAGATTTATATTTTAACACCATATAAAAGTGAATTTTGCATCCGATGACCCTTTTAAAAGGAGAGAATGGCTATAGAGGGAATGCGCGTGACGTCACCGTCGGCCGGAGTGCCTGCAGTTCCTCAGTGAGTGGCAAAAAGACTGAACGGCTGTATATGTGTTCAGCGTGAATGCCGCGAAAAAAAACACAACACACACAAATAAAGTGGGAAAGAGCTTTGCGATTGACTGTAGGCCTACAACTAGATTTGACAAAACATCGGAGGTATATTTTTACAGACTGCTATGGAAAGAGGAGCAAATGGATCGCTGCAATTCACAGAAACAACTGGACTCCAGTCAGCGAAAGGTGGATTTGCAGTTATCATTTTGTGTCAATATGCTGAATTTAGCTATAAAACCATACCAATATATTTTGTATTGTTATATACATTAACAACTCATCAATTGAATATTTATCATTGCATATTCTGCATTATTGGATGTTTTTTTAATAAACACAGACCAAAAAAACGTATAAAGTTTTAGGGCTGGATGATATGATGACATATATAGGCTATATATAACACTGATATAAGTGATCACCCGGATTTAGACCTACCTATATTATATTTATATAAAGCGTTCACAGGCCAATTTGCTTCATGTTTAGGTCTATATTGCTTTTATTTCCCCGGTGTCGAAATCAGGCAAACATAAATGTCAGGCAACACGATTCCTGGCTGCATGTCAATATCCATGGATCACTGGATCTTTAGTAAGTTGTAAGGAACACTATATTGAGTCCAACATTTAGTTTAAATTGATAAAATTGTTCGATTTAGTCACATTTCCGCAGTTTCCCCCTATTAAATCCAGCCTCGCAGCAGATCTTTTGCCACTCGGTCAGGCTGAGGGGGGGTTGTTCCAGCGGGAAAGTCACGTGTCAATGCATTCCCTCTATATTTTTCAACATCAGCTCTCACTTTCTTTAATCACAGGCAAGATATTTCTTCCAAGAATTGTAAAATCAAAATGCTAAAAAATAATAATAATAATGAAGGGGTAACCTACCGCATTCATCAGATCTTGATCTGGATAGATTTTTTTTAATAATATCACCACCTCTAGGTGGGGGTGTAATTTTCTCAATTCCCCAAAACTTACAAGCCATTTCACATTATCTTACTAGACGTCCCACTGATGTTCTACCTCCATCAGAATTTCTTATAAACTTGGTCGAGATTATCTTATCTAATAATTTTTTCAAATACTATGACAAATTTTATTTACAACTCCAAGGGACTGCAATGGGGTCTTTGTTTGCACCTTCATATGCTTGTCTTTTAATGGGTCTATGGGAAGAAAAATACATACAGAAAATCGAAAATAACCCGTTCCATTCGAAATTATCACTTTGGCACAGATACATAGACAATGTTTTTTTTAATATGGAAGGGCACAATTAGTGAGTTGTCTAATTTTTTGACTTACGTAAACTCTACCGCAGACTATTTGTCTTTCACTATGGAATCTAACAAGTTGTCCATTGATTTCTTAGACCTTACCATCTTTAAGGATGAAAAAAAAATTCTACATTCCACTATCTACCGCAAGCCTCTCAGCAGGAACACCCTGTTAAGAGCAGACAGTAATCAATCGCCTCATCTGGTTCGTAATATACCAGTGGGCCAATTTTTGCGAGTCTGAAGAAATTGTAGCACTACAAGTGAATTTTTGTCTAAAGCAACCGATCTAGCGCGTCGTTTTGAACAACGTGGTTATGACAAATCTGACATTAGTAAAGCATGAGATAGGGCTCTAAATACAGATCGGGCTTCATTGAAAATATCGAAGCCTCACACGACATCTAAAATATTATTTTCTACTAGCTATACTCCAGCAGCAGGACAATAAAAAATATAATTCGAAAACATTGACATGTTTTTAACAGTGACCCTACACTTAAAGACATCTTTGCTGAGCCACCCAGGTTTGTATTCAGACGCGCGCGTAACATTCGTGACCGATTGGTTCACTCAGATATGACTTTGCCTCTGCCGACCACCTGGCTCACCAGCCCACCTTTGGGCTTTTATAAATGTGGCAACTGTGCGCAATGCTCCAATTCAACTAATGCCAAAGACTTTTCACATCCACGTACTGGTAAGAAATATTTTATTTCTTCATTCATTAATTGTAACAGTACTCACGTAATATACACGTTAAAGTGTCCCTGTGGACTGGTGTACATTGGTCAAACAAAATGTCAATTGAAACTAAGAATAGCTGAGCATAAAACAGCAATTCATACTCAGAATTTAACTTATGCCATGGCGAGGCATTATAAGCAGGCCAATCATGGTTCCCCTGCATCTTTGAAGTTTTGGGGAATTGAGAAAATTACACCCCCACCTAGAGGTGTTATATCGTAAATACTGTTTTTTTTTTTGTAAATTTCCATTGCTCCCCTAAAGATCTTATTATCTCCCATGAGTAATGTTTTGTTTTGACCCTCTGCATTTTACTTACTGTAACGTCCATTCTTTGTTATGGTTGCACAATTAAAGTGAATGAAATTAATGTTTTTCCTTGTTTCAGTTAAAAAGTAGATTGGATTTGTTACATATATGACTTTTTAATAAAGATCAAATGACTGAGTTCAGCTTTGAGAATGAAACCAACCTGTTTGTGTCTCAACATCTTCTTGTTTCACACTGTTCGCTTCTTCAATCTTCATTTCTTTAATCTCCTCTTTAATAAATGCCATCTTTGTTTGTTCTTCAGTATCTTCACTTAGATCTCAATTGCTTCATCAGGAGTCTTTCTGTGTGTTTGAACAGTTTGACATATTTAAGATTTGAATAATTAACAGAAAGAAAAATAAATCCACACTGGTAAGAGTCAGTCAGAGTGAGAGTTAATGGCCTTTAATTATCAGAACAACCAAAAAAAAAAAAACACTCAAATTGAACAATACAAATAAATAAATGACAAATTAACCTGATTTTCATGGATAAGTACATCATATACATTATACTTGACACATACTATTTTCCAAAAAACATTGCATTTGGTAAAATTGTAATTTCAAACATGTTTGTGTTCACGTTGTTTTGACAGTGTGCGGTGATTCGAATCACTGAATCATTTTGCGAAATTTGATTCAATTGACTAGGGGTTTCTACAAGCTCCGTTTCTCCATCACTGCTTGCCAGTGACGGAATTCGTGTTTACAATAAACGGATTCACGATATTGGGAGCGAAATGAGGCGCACCTCTTCTGTTACTCATGTGTGAATGCGCTTTACTGTCAAAAATAACGTCCATTAACGTAAGATAAAGCATTTGTTATAACTATTTTTTAATCGATTTAAATACTCTAAATGTTTTGAAACACAAACCTTTCTTCAGCTGAACCACAACAGATGCACGAGGGGGTCGCACACTTATGATGTCATGATGCCAAAATAAAGGCCCTGCTTACGTGCTAAAAAAAATTAGTAAAATAGATTCAGAGTTGAATTCTTCTGGAAATATTAACTACTATTGAAAGAGTGTGATATGTCTAAACAGCAAAACTGTAATTTTTGGGGGGAAAATTATAGACTATTATTAAATATAATCAAAATGTAAATAGTAACGGATGTGATTAAAAACCCGAGATCATAAAACAGTTTATACATCACACGTCAGTACTGAAACACATATAAAAGTGTTTTTTTATTTAAATGTGGACATATTAAGTTAATTTGAGTTTTTAAAAAATGTTTTAAAAATGCATACATTGTACAATATTTCACATCCCAGATAGCAAACTGACATTGAATCAACGTGGAAATATGACATCGAAACAACGTTGATCTGACATTGTTTTGCTCATCGAATTAACGTTGAACCAACGTCAGACGCGTCATTCTTTCAAAACTAACGGAAAATCAACTTGAAATCAACGTGTTGTTTCAACGTTATGAAAGCAAACCAATTTTCGATTTTCATTTAGCTTTGAAGAATGCTGCGTCTGACGTTGGTTCAACGTTAATTCGATGAGCAAAATCAACGTTGTTTCAATGTCATGAGAGACGTCGTTTCCACGTTGATTCAATGTCAGTTTGCTGTCTGGGATTTCCTCCAAACAAACTTTTCTTGAGTATCAAGACATGCAAATAAAAAGGTCAATGAACAACATGTTTTAATTGTGTCTGGCTGATGTGGCACAACCCAGCTAACAAGTTTACGTTCTGTGAATGTTAGTTTTTGGTTCCCAGAACGTTCCCTATTGGTTATCCAGGAGAGTTTTTTAACGTAAATAGAACCTTCCCCTATCTAAGCATGTTGTAGGAACTTTATGGGAACGTTCCCCTAACCCATTCCCCTAATGTTCTTCTATTTACGTTAAAAAAGCTTTCCTGGATAACCAACAGGGACATTAATACATAATAAGTCAACATACAATAAGTCAACATACTACATAAATAATAAGTCAACAAGCCACTTCTTCTACTTAGTTTATTGTTCACAAAACATAAGAATCTTATGAACCATGAATTAAATCTTATAAAAAATTAAATATAACTTGCAATTAAAGAAACAATCTCAATCTCTGAAATGAGATATGAACATATTTTAAACAACATCAAACAAAATTTACATCAATAGGTGTGAAAATGTGTACGGTGAACATTAAACCAACGTCTTCATTTCACCATCAGCTGCAAATCAAAAACAAATGGGAAAAGACATGAGTCAGATGTCATTTTTTAGAAATCATAGGCCTAAAAAATGAACTATAGTGCAGTTAAGGATTGTGTGCCGATGACCGGTGAGTTAACAAAATTTAGCAGCCATAATTATTATAATTTGTTTTATTTTTTACTGGCTTATTTTTATTTTTTTTTACTTTACTTATTTGTTTAATTTTTTTATTTATTTGCAAGGTGGTTATTACAACAATTACTAAACATTTATATAATGTTTTAACTTTTGTTGTAACTTAACCCTAGTTTTATTTAAAAAAAGAAAGAAAGAATAAAAATTAAAAATTATACTAAATATGATAATTCTATGAAACTACTAAAGTTACCTGCAAGCCTTAAGGTGTGAATTTATTACTACAATTAATTTGCATATCGCAAAAACTTGCAATAACTGGGGTCATGAACAAAAGCCAAAGTGAAAATCACTCACTTCTGAAAACTAAGCAGTGTTTTATTTTTACATTTGATTATTTGGTTTCTGTTGTTAAATAAACCTAATGTAGTCCTACCAGAACCCAAAACCCACTGATGTTAAAATAACTAGGTTAGCATCCTATACTTTATTGTTAACATGCATTCAATATGTTAGCAACTAGTTAGTAATGCACTAGTTGCTAACATATTGAATGCATGTTAACAACTAGTTAGTAACTAGTTAGTAATGCAACACGCCTTCTGCTTTCTCATACAGAAGAAATAGCCTAACTTATATTTGAATGGATTGTTAGTCATTGTCTTATTTTTTATAAAATATTTTTTTTATACATTTTATTATTTTAGATAAAATGGCATTAAGACATTAAGAGACCGAACAACCTCCTCGCAGCAGGTATCATTCACCTCCATAGAGGCCAAGAGTAAGTAAAAATTATGTGTAAATATCTAGAAATAAAATCTTGAATTGTGATTTCATCATGAAATTTTTCATTTGAGAATGCTATAAATCTAGATCTAAATACACTGACATTTAAATAATTATATTTGATAAAACATGGAAAAAATAAGTATATTTTAAGTTACATTTAATATTACACCTCATCCTTTTTTCCCCTAAGGTTAATGTTGTTTTCTTTTAGTTTTACAATCGACAGGACCCAAATTATTGGGGACAGCTACATTCGCCGTGGGGAAAAACATGCGAGGGAGACCATCGGACAACCTTGGTCTGAGTGCCCAGGGTCAGGTCCGGTGGTTTGGCTGGGGTGGCATGGTCTGGAGAAATCTCCTCCCCTTCTTTCGTCAGTGTCTTCGAGGAAGAGCTGTGCCAGATGTCTTGTTGGTCCACTGTGGTGGAAAATGACCTCGGGACCACCAAAAGCATTCATCTCATTGCAGGGATCAAACAAGACTTGCAAGACCTCCATCCGCAGTTCCCTCAGTTGAAAATCATCTTCTCTGCCATCACCCAGAGATGCCGGTAGAGGTCTTCTACACTTAAGAAAATAGACAAAGCCTACCGCTATATTAACAGTGATGTCTACCTTTGTTTGTACTCTTGGAGGAAAGATTGAACATCATCCTCAGATCCTGGACAATTTTTTCATGACGGAGTTCATTTCACCCCTCTGGGAAATGATTGTTTTTAAAAAATATTGCCTGGTGTCTGAAAGACCAGTAGGGTGATGCTAGATTTGGATTTCCCACCAAAAGTTTTGGCATCAAAAGTAGTCCAGAATTTTTATACTTTATGTGGTGATTAATGTACAAAGGGTAGCCATCACACTGTTATGTCACAGCTCTTCCTCTCTCTCCTTGTCTAAACCCCTTGCTTTACCCCAGCCATTCCATCTGAACCTTGACTTTCTGAACAGCCGTAATACGAATCCTTGAATTGATCCTTGAATTTCTCCCCACGGTGAATGTAGCCAGGAGTTGTATGTGGTACTACCTGTTTGTGGTTGCATATTTTTGTATAAATAAATACTGTATATATTCAAATACATATATATATATATATATAAATGTTTTGGCTTAACCAAAAGGCCACCATCTTACATTACATGAAGTTTTATAGTCTTCTGTCTGTCAAAGAAAGCATACATTACTTTAAAAAAAAAAATTCTTCAAACTCCTGGGAGGAAGACAGAAGATGTTATTGTCTCAGATCAACTAGGATAAGGAAACATATAAGTTGATGACATTTTTATGATTATTTAATCAGTATATTGACATATAAATAGTCTCTGGTATTGATAAAACAGATAAAACATTTTTTTTACACACCAGATCCAACAAACATTCCAACACACAGTAGGTGGCCTATCTCAGTCGAAAGCCCACTCACCACGACAAGGTGCAGGCCATGAGTGGGGACACAAGACAAGACATACTTGACAAACAAGACAAATGCAGACGGGAAAAAAAGAGATAAAGAAATTGAAAGTTAACTATATACTAAAATATAAACAATACAACAAAAATATAACAATTACATAGCAGTAACATAAATAACCTGAAGACTTTCATTTTATCAAACTCAAATGGAAGGAATGCTTCTTAAAGTTTTTTGGTATTACTTTTATTTATGAACATAGCCAAGTATAAACTGTAAGAACTAACTCATAAATGTACTCTAAACTTGAAACTCTTGAGTACAAACTGTATTTAGAAAAACACTGTCAAACTATTAACTTAAAGGACGATTACAATTTTAAACTTAAGTATATAATGATATTAAACTTATTTACATGAAAGTGTATTAAAACATTAATTTATTCACAAGTGCTTCCTGTGATCAAACGGCTTATGAGGAATCTAGTCAAAGATTCAGTGCCGTTTATGCGGACTGTAAATCATCACCAGCAGCAACAGAACTTCAGGAGGATGTGGACCCCTTCACACCACAAGCAACAATATCACTGGGTGTCGCTTTGATACTGGCCCTATGTCACTATACATGCGTAATAATAACTATTATTTAAAATATATACACTTAATTTAATATTTACTTATTGTTTTAATTGCATCATAAATAATAAACAATCTAATAAATAAATAACTAGTTGCGTCATTACCATGCTCATGGTGTGAATGGGGCTGAAATCA